ATGATCTATACATACCATCATTTAAAGTGATGTGACGGGCGACGGAAGATGGATACAATTTGCAAGATGCATTAAACACGTTCATTTATTGCAAACAACATAGGTTGTACGTCAGGTTGCTTGTTGGCATTTACACTTTGCTGCAGTTATAGTTTCTTTATTGAACGTATATGTAGTTGAGTCAATCAGTTTATCCTGTTTTCAGAACTGCTGTACCAACTAGGATTTTCTTTATTAAAATTGTATTTATTGAGCTTATACTAGTCATTTTCTAAAGCTTTAAAGCTTGTGTTTGATATCCACCAGATACCAGCCTACAACGAATGTCTTCTGGCATTTTGATAATATTTTTACCCATTGTTATCTTTTATCAAGGTTTGCAGCAAACATACATATATTGCAATTATTTACAAATATCGCTTCTCTGACAATGAGTTATATCATAAATGACTAGGATTTTTTTTGGTATACTCAAAAGGCAATTTTGGAGCTGAATTAAAAAATAAGAGTTACATAATATTCTACTCCAGCATTGTGTACATTTCTGACCAATCTTCGTACTCAAGATTTGAAAATGTATCATATCTTATATCCTTGACAAAAACATGACGGTATTTGTTGTACATGTATTGAAGTAATCTCGAATATTGACACCCGAAACTGTATTCTGTCCGTTTTAATGTTGAGAGTTTCTACTTTGAATGTTTAGAGAAACTAAATTTGTTTCTAATTTTTCTTTTTAATTTGATTGTGTTTCCTAGTACTGATTGGAATGCTTTTAGATGATCAACATAGCCCATTACAATTTGATTGTTTAATTCTGTTGTTCTGTTGAAATATACAGGGTCACTTCGTGGAGGTAATCGTGGCTGAAAAATTGGTCCGGCAACAAGTTAGTTTTGTGGAAGCACTTCCTTCATTAGAATCTCATCAAGGTAGTTCTTGGGGTTGACCTTAACACTCTGATCCACAAAAATCTGCGGTGCCTTCCAAACCATGACCTGAACGGAACGCAATCTTTCAGTAAACGTGGCGTCGCTTCCTAAATCGTTCGCGCGAGAATTCTATCGTTTTGGCGAATGAATGTTTGCTCAATCGTGAATAACTTCTCGTCGGTGAAAGGGATGTATTTGAGCTCCACCGTTGAGCAGTGTTTCAGAACTTCGCGACATCTCTCAAGGCGAGTAACCTTCATCTGTTCTGTCAAAGTGTTTTTGGAACTTGATGCTACAAATCCTTATGCTGCTATGCTTGACGATCCTGTGCACATATTCACAGCTGATATTTAGATCCTTAGCCATTTTTCTGAGACTCTTCTTGGAGTTCTGGAAGACCTTGTCTCGGACATGCTTGACCATAGTGGGAGTCGCGGCAATCTTTTACCCGTTTCTCGATAACGACGGATTGTGCATTGGATGCCTCTACGGGAAACTCCGGTGATTTTTCCGATCTCCTTCTAAATCACCTGGCCTGGCTCAGCCTCAAAATTGTGGCACGTTCTACGTCGGATACAATTACCTGAAACCGTACAAAGCAACTTTTTTGATTTTTGGAGTCTTTAGTAACAATAAGACGAACATACGAGCAAAATTTCACATTTATATAAAAAAAATATATAAAAAAACGAACAAAGTTATAACATCGTAAATAGCCACATTTCCTCTATTCCAAAAATACAGAAATTACTGACCTGTACTTGCCCCAAATGAGGTTGTTACGATACGGGTTCACAACGGATAAAACATACAAATACAATATGGCACCATTATCAAAATACAAAACCAACATAAATTTGTTAAATGTTAAACTTTCCAACGACACAACTTGGATTAGTAGTAGATAACATATTTATGAACACTGAATGCACAGACAGTAAAACCACAAATCATCACGTATCATACCATTTGTTGGAATTACTTTAGCAATAAATACTTCATTCCAAAAGCCTGGTTGTGTACAAATAGGGTCAAAACGTGCCCTATTATGAGTTAAACATAATCCCCAAATTTCATTTTCCTAGCGTTTATGGTTTTTGAGAAAAAAAAATTAAACCAAAATTTTCCGCCATTTTTGAAGGGGTGTAGCTCCTTAGGGGAGCCGAAGTCGCCCATGGTTCATATATCAAAGTACCCTTAAAATTCACTAAAGAATCACCCCTTGAAGTTTGTTGCAGTCATTCGGATACATCCTGTATAATTCTTATAAGAAAGCTTTGGAATTATATCATTAGAAACCGTGCATGACATATTATTCTGAAAATGTAAAGTGTTTTCAAATCACATAATCTAATTAGTTTTTTGGTAGATTTTACGTAATTTTGGTATATCCAGCACAAAAGTGATCATTGTTATAGATTTCGCATTTCTGTCAAAATGAATTTGAGTTATAGTATCCAGCAAGATACTTTAGGTTATGAATCGTACGTAAACTCGATAGGCATTTTACATTAATCATACGCAATTCTTTTTTGTTTTGTGTTGGTCTCTTAAAGCTTTCTTTTAGACAGTGCTTTATCTAGATGTTACGTATCGAAAACGTCAATGCTGTGACGTGAAATTGCTTTGTCAACATCTAAACACTCGTATAGAGCTATTTGTTATAGAAGTGAACCAAACAATTTTTCGTAATGTACTACTATCCTCGTGCTTTTAGGAACACATTTTGTAAATCGTCTTTCGTCTCTTCAAGTTTAAACACGAGATCGTACGTCAATCTGTAGCATTACCTTAACGACACATTTCTTCTAAAAACAGAAAAGAAGATAAGAAGGAAGAATTCAAAAGTCATGCAAAAATCTTTTTTTAACTTGATCTTTTCATTACCTTTCATCGCAGAAAGAAATGCTTTAGTTGGTAACAAGTCCTGATTCGAACCACGGTGGCCATTTCAGTGAGGTGTAGTTGATATCAAATTTATAGATCTTGATAACTCAATCTTTTCGTTCTTAAGCACAATAACTATCAAATTATAAATGAATATTAAATATGTGAAACTTAAGCAACATTTAGAATTTTTGATTCATAATTATTTGTTGATTTCATCGGAAATTAACTTTTACCTACTTATCCTAACTCATCCCAATTAAATGTTTCAAATATAAAATTTTCTAAAGTAAACTTAAATATTTTCTTAAAAATTTCGAAAATTGTACAATTTCAAATTGATATTTTATTGTTCGGATATTCAAAAATTATTCAAAATAATATTTAATTCAATCCAAAGCAAGTAAATACAAATTCTGCAAAGTCTGTTTATTATTTTCATATCATATTAATTCAATAGTTTTTTGTTCGTGCAAAATTTAATCAAAGTAATGGGAGTTATATATGAAAATTATCCCAAGGGTGCCACTTCGGAATATTATTACCCTTCATCGTTTTAGTGGCCTTTCAAAATATTAGACCTGTTTCTTGAAAAACATACGTAGACCACAACACGCCGATCCATTTTACAATACGCTTGGGAATCCATATTTTCGCTATGACGCAATCCGTTTGATATTCTTCGAAAGTGCATCATACTGATTCATAATTAATTTACTTAAGTGTATTTTTCATTAACGTTCCCTATACGTTTTCTCTGCTACCTTAACATTTTCAACGCTCATCGTGAACCGTATGGTATTAACACTTTCACGTCTATGAGAATTAATTTTGCATTTAATAGGTTAAAAAAAATGTATCTATTTAAAATGCGATGAGTGTTGATTAGATTTACAAGGCTATAACAGATATATGATAAACAAACATTACATATTTTATAATACTAAGGTACTTCACTTTAATTGCTATATAAGGTGTGTCTATTAATTGTTGGTAACAGCGTAATAAATAAGAAGATGCGTTTTACAGAGGTGAACATCAATTAGAACGGCAGCAAAGAGACATTTACTTATGTAGACTAACGTTCACTCACAATGGAGAATGGATTCAGTACGGTGGACGAGGAGCGATTAGTGAAATTTATGACCGCTTTAAGTAATTTGATAGAAATCGATGGAAAGAGGAAAACGTCGATTGTAAATGTGTAAAATGTGATTTTCACAATCACGAGATTTATATACGGGATAAGCCTTTACGATTTCTTGATTTAAGTTTGATTTTAGTTGGCGAAGCCAACGGTTATTGAAGCAATTAAAGTTACAGATCTAATCAACGAGGTGCTAAGCAGCATTTATTACCCACGATTTTATTATTTTTAAGTTGAAGCTTTGTAAATAAAACATTGGGAGCGCTCGAAGATTTTAACGCTGGGTCATAACAGATATCACCATCTATGATGGTTTAATTGTTATTGTGTTGTGGTAAAGTTGTGGTAAATAATGGAAATTATTAAATTCTTAAATGATTAAAGAATAAATGAGTGATTGATTTTGGTAAGGAAATTCCACTTTATTTACTTAGTATTAATAGATAATAATAAAATTATAGGAAAACTTCAGACGTAGTTCTATCAATAAATAATTTATATTGAAGTAGGAATTTATACTTAAATGACACGGTGGCATTTCCGCGTAGGCGATTTAAATGAGAAAGTGCTGTGGTTATTATGTCACTTATCTCCTCAACATTTAAGGAAGAGTGGGTAATTCTTATGGGATTTATGCCTCTTGTGCGAATAATATCTCAACACTTATAACATTTATAGAAGTTATAGATCAAACGAGTGTTATATTTGTCGTCTAGCCATTTGAAGAGGAAAGAGTAATCGTCCCAAATTACTCTTCCTCCTCTAAATGGCTTTTGCTGGTTGACTCAATCTGAACGCCGACCTCGACGCAGCTTCACTCTCAACGATAAAAGTGGGTTTCTCCCAAAAGAAAGTGATCGTCTACCAAAAGCGGTTCCGTCACAAATCTCTGTTCGGTGTTGATTCCGCAACTGATCGCCCACCAAAAAACACCTTGGAGCTTATGGTTGGTCCGGGCTCTTGTCGTCTTCTTTTCTCCTCCGGTGTTCTCTTCTGGGTTCCGCGACGACAATATTCGTTTCCGGCATTCGCGAAACGCGCTTCTCGCTCCACACACCGGTGTGTCTCGCAGCAGCAACAGCAAAACGGTGGAACCCCCACCCAGAAGAGGTGTGTGGCCCATTCACTCGTCGTAGTCTCTACAGCGACCACGTCCAGTTGCTCTTCCGGCTCAACGTGGAGCGCTCAGAAGAGCGCTCGAACCCGGAAATTAAGTTAGAGAAGAGCACGAGGACTCAAAAGAAACCGACCTCGCGCGCAGGTCGGTCCCGTAGACCTAGTGCCTTGCGACCGGCCTCAAGTTAGCATGTTATGAACATGAGTTTTGTGGTACCGGTGCGAGAACCTCAAAAAATGGAATATCAGTTACCACCACCCCCAGTTACAGCCCCCAATGTGGGGGCTCATCAAGTTCCCGTTGGTGTTATGCAGGGAACTTTACAACCTCATATTCAACCTGGACAAGAAGAACCTAATCGTTGGAGTCAATATCAACAACTTTGGAGGCAGCATGTTTACATGAACGGTATGATGTTTAAACTTGACAAACCACTTTTGTTAGTTGCGACCTCCAACATTTTTTATTGCTTTAATTTTTTATGACAACTCTCTTGAGTGACATCCCACTATTTATTTAATAAACGATTTCAAATGTTAATAGATAAAAACATATTTCGAATGTATTTATACTCTAAAAAGGTGTTAAAACATGTACAATGATATATAATTAGAACTTTTATTTTTCTTAAAGTATCTCTAATTTATTGATAGGGAAAAATAATTCTTGATTGACATTTTTCTCAGCTATTTATAATCGTAATTATTATTTATTTTTATTGTTGAGATTTATCTCTTGAGATTATTACTAATAATCTATCAAAATCGGATTTTTATTTTGTAAGTAAATTATTTAATTTCCTTAATTAAAGAAACTATTAATTATCTTCCATTGTATTTATTAAAGCTAATTAACCACATCGCTTCTGATTCGTAATGCTTAACCAGCAACATTCGTAACATAATTTTCATTACCTACAATTTGCTGCAAAAAAACTCATTAAAACTAAATAATTTGATCAATACGTTTTGAAAGTTTAAGTTGAACAACCTCGTATTAGAAACAATTTTATTTCCCCTATAATTTTTGCTACTACTGTTTAAAACCCACCACGCAATCAAAACTCAAAAATCTCATTTATTTACACATGCAAGATCAAGTATTATTTATTTGTTGTTTTTCCATTGACTTTCTAACGCTTATAGGCACAAGTAAATTATAATCTACATCCCGACAGCGTGTATATCTATTATCACGAGCAAGGTCTCCTCTAATCATGCCAATGTTAATGTCTCTCGTGTGCTCGCAATAACCTTACTCTCTCGAATGGCCTTTTCAACGTTCATTGGTGTTTTGTATTGAATACTGTTTGTATTTTGTATTTTCCGGAAGCACACTTAGATGAGGCGGGCTGCTTTTGGGATGAGAAGTAATGATTGGCGGTTTCATTGACGGTTTTGACAAGGTAAAAATGCTCATAATCATACTTATTTGAAGGAGTAATAATATGCTTTCTATAGTATTCGTCCTTTTTGCGATGGCGTGTAAAATAAACGAGAAAATTTAATTTAAGACCTTTCGTTCAACCGTAAACGACAAGATACAACATTATTAAGTGATGTCCACAAAAATATGTTTTTAATGATTTGATTTTATGAAAAACCGTGAGAAGAATCAATGATTACAGCAAAGATTATTATCTTCTTTCAATAAAAAAAATGTAATCTTTATGTAGTGAATATTTGTCGAAGATTACATTGCAAAATAAATAATTTTTTTAAGCATCTTATAAAATATATGACGATCGTAACATGCACTTTATAGGCAGTTTGTTTATGGGCTTAAAACGAAATTACTGTGCAAACATCATTATGCTCCTAGCTACGTCTTTATGGTTCATTATTATTTAAACTTTTCCTTTTTGAAAATATTTCTTTTTCATCTACGAATGTTACATTAGTTCTAACAAGCCAAGGTTAATCTACCTGTAGCGTGCAAACCCTAAAACTTGATTCTCTTCGATTCAAGATTCTGACAGTCCTCTTCTCGATATATAGCGGAATGACAAACGATTCGCGAGCTGTGAGAACCGAGTCGATCAGATGTTAAAATATTGGGCAAACAAAAAACCAAGGTTGTTTCATGTTGACACATTTGCATGGCCGGCTGAAAGCGACTTTTTTTTCGGCGTCATTGGTTTCAACTTCGCCTCGTCTCTCTATGTGTTCTCTAACGTTTTCTTTATGAGATTTTTTTGCTTTCTAAGAGCGGCAATTTCGTTCCCACAAAAGCCGCAGCACGCTTCAATGTCAAACGTATTCGTGTATAGTAACTACTAAGACGTAATTAGAACGCAACAAACGTACATCATACGCCATCTCGTCTCCGTACTCTTTGTGATATTCGAGAAAAATAACATCATTACAGGTTGGTCGTACAAATTGGTTTTATACAACAAAAGCAAAAAAAAAAGAACGAGAACGATTGTAATGATTGTCCCTGTGAGAATAATTGTGGGTGTAATTTTTGTTTCCGAGTAGCAATAACGTTTTACAAATCGATTGGAATGTACGATAAAGGATGTGGTACGGTTAAAAATCAATGTCGTTCGGACAATAATCGGTTTCGCGTTGATTTAAATGTAAATTGAACTGTTCGGGTAATTATCCTAAGCACGACTGTGATTGAATACGTTCGTGATTTACTATTTGACTTATTGCTTATGAAAGTTACGTACTACCGTTTATAGTCCATGAATCTAAATAAAAACAATAAAATATATTTTTTTCCGACATTTACGTGAAAAATTAATTTAATTACACCACAATGAGAAAATATATAGTTATAATAACTTAAAATAATGGCAATAATTTCTCCTTACTACTTCTATATTCGAATTACAACTTTCTTGCTTAGATACTATCTATTGTACGTCGTAATCGTAATTGCGGTTATTATTCAAAGGAGAGGAAATAGTGAGAGTGAGATGATAAAATACAGAGATGAATTAATATGTTTTTGGTAGAGTAAATTACACAGAAATATACGTTTATATGTACAACATCTCATGTAAATATATAATAATTTTAAACTACATCCAATTTGTATTTAGGTCAGCTCTTAAAGAATTTAATTATTCTTTAGTTTAATGACCACTTCAGTACGAGATTTACTAATTCTGTCATGCATTTTTATTCTCTCGAACTCATTTAGTTTTCTTTTTATACCGGGTGTCCCTCAAAAGTGGCTCACCCCCATATTTTTCTTTATTATTGGTGATATAAGAAAACCATTTGGAATGCATAGTTAAGTCGCTAAAACGGATTATTACGACATGAAATCATTCTTTTTGTACTTCCGGTTACACCGGATGTGAGTACTAATTTCGCTATTTTTTTAAATCTATAATATTTTTTTCTTCAGTTGGGTTTCAGGGACAGTCTAATTTCACATAACTTTTACTTGAAAAAATTTTCGCGATAACTTATAATTTTTGAAAAAAAAAATTATTTTCGTTATTTCTTAACGTTTTAGTACCTTCGGAAAATGTATTACAACTTTTGACGCATAGTAGCTAGGTTAACAGTACAAACTACGTTATGTCCCTCTTGATTTGCTATTCCTCGAGCAGTGATCACTGCTATGCTTTAGTTAGTGGTTTTTTTTTAATAATGGTGTAAATTAACAGTTGTATTAAATTAGTTTTAAATTAGCCTCGATTTTGACATAATTGTATCTTGCGTATTGTCGATCTAACGACTCGACGTTATTCCTGCGGAGATATTTAGGTAATACAATTTCTAACTCGATTTATTTTCTAATGTATTTTACAGCTCATTTTTGATTTTGCCCCATAAAAAGAATCTAAAGGTGTGAGGTCAGGTGATCTGAGAGGTTTTAACCAAAATAAAGTAAACAATCCAAATTATAATGTACAATGGACATTGTAAGTTACTATCAGCTACAGAACATTTAGTGTAAAAGAACAAAAAATAAAGAAAAAAATAAAAAAAATAGCGAAATTAGTACTCACATCCGGTATAACCGGAAGTACAAAAAGAATGATTTCATGTCGTAATAATCCGTTTTAGCGACCTGACTATGCATTCTAAATGGTTTTCTTATATCACGAATAATAAAGAAAAATATGGGGGTGAGCCACTTTTGAGGGACACCCGGTATATATTTCTATCGGTTTTAGTTACCATATGGTTGACCTTGAACAGAATATTTAAAATTTATGCAATTTTAAGGCAGTTTCAGTTTTTGATTTCTTCGTGAATTTTTTTTATTATTCAATTAGAAGAAAATATCCCAAAAGAGTGCTTTTATCTAGTACATTAGCGTTCATAGTAGCTTTGCTCATCCTAAGAAAATTTCGAATACCAGCATTTCTAGGTATTATATATTTCCATTCATTCAAAAACTTGTATTTCCTAAACTAAAAGTAATTTTTAAAAATAAACTGTTTTATTGTAAACTAGATACTTTAATTTATATTTAGTGATATTTTCATAAAAATTTACCAAAAAATCGATTAACAAGAAACTTTTAATATGACGCTAAAAAATTTTAAATTATGCCAAACACGTCAATTGATTTATAAAATCCCAAACTCTAAAAGTGATTCTTCTAAACGGACTTGTTCAATAAAAACTGGATGTTTTACTTAGTGAACGATGCAAATTTGGCAAATAGTTTCCAAGAAATCGATTATTTATAAATGTTTAATATAGAACCAGGAAAATTTAAATATTACGAAAATCTGCAATTGAGATTAAATCTGTATCACAAAACAATTTATAAAACAGACCTTTTTGATGAAAAGTCGATACTTTCCAATCAATTAATAGTGATTATTATCAGAAATTGTTTTTAATTTAGTGCATAAAGATTTCGAATGAGTTTAAGTTTGTATGTTAAAAACTAAAAGTAATTTTTAAAACGGATTTCTTCGGAAATTTTGTTTTATTTGGTTGATAATTGGTTGATATTTCACAACAATTTTCCAAGAAATCAATTCTCCAAAAATGTTTATTTTTAACTTGGAGAACTTATACAGGATAAGCTAGATAGAATAGGAACACTCCGAACTGAAGGCGCTTAACACCAAATTATAAAAACGTTTAGGAGATACATAGAGTTCAAAATTATTTTCCTGTATTTAGGATATTCATTTCATGACATCAAATCATTAATTTTATCTTTCCATTTAGATTTAACAACGCCTTGTGTCTGAAAACTGCAATAGTTATCCCCAATCCCAAATCAAATACAGGCCACACTACAATTCCATGTAACATTCCTATTCTCTCCACTTGCCAAATATCCATTTACTCTTTTTCTGTAAGAGGGATGAAGTATCTTTGAATGCCTACACATACATACTTTATAACACAATATCAACACTAACAACCATTTTAGATTCCAACTCACATACTTTATAACGCACAACCTCAACTCCCATT